AAAAAAAAAGAATTAAAGCGTTGGACTAAACAGCTAGGATAAATATATAAGGGTTTTGACCTGGCTTGCACAAATCCACCTGACGAAAACTCGAGGAGTTGGACTCATCCATCAACAGAGGGATCACCGAACCGCAGGCCTGGAGGATTCGTAGATCTTGCTCGACCGGTTCATGGCAACATGTGTTTCCCAAAGCGGAGGGAAGGCATGCATGCCGCAACTCGGCCAAATCTGTGAGCAGCTCAGCTTGCTCTCGCTTGTTTCTTTTTTTTTCTGGAGTGATATTACTTCCGAGTAAAGAACCCAAACCCTCCGGCAAGAACTTCTCGATGATCGCCACTGGATCAGTACACTGCTGAGTACACCTACCGCGAACAATAGTAAATGTTGAACAACAATACAACACCCAAGAGGTCAGCTAAAGTTTCATGGTTCATGTTTCACTGCCATGGAAACTGTTCTCGACCTTTGTGACTTGCGATAGCGTCGCCTCGCGACCAAAAATAACACCGGTTTGACAGGCCCCAAGCCCCACCCACCTACTCACCAAAAGCGAATTCCGAAAACCGAATTCTGGGGGAACTCCGCTGTTCATTCATGAAGTGACTATGGCTGAGCATGAAGACTTAACTTAACATCTACGCTCCATGGAATCATGGAAGTGGTGCCATCCACCAGCCGCCACGAGCCCCTTTCAACAAGACCAACAAGCATCCATGGACAAAAATCCGCAGACAACCATGCTTCCAGAAGATATTCTGTAGAGACAAATCACACCCCTTTGCGGACGCATGTCCATGCCGGTGGAGGAAGGCAAAGCATCCGTCGAAGGAAACAACATTGGCCTATCCATGGATGGTCATGAGTTAACTGATCAACAGAGACTTCAACACACAAATTGACAGAAATGGAAATGGTTTGTAAAAACAGGTTTGTGCCATCGATCCTAAACTAGAAGGAGTGCCACAAACACTTGTATGAGCAGCACTGAGTCCTAGTTACACGTCAAATCCCTTTCATCTCTGTGTACCATCATTCATATCTACTACCTTCAAGGCTGATCGGAGTTCCCCACTAGAAACCATGAGCTGCAATGACCTCGCAACCCACTACATCTATGCCTTGCATAGTTCCTCTTCAGGACCCCGGCCTGCCGAACCTACACACGCCGGCCCTACAAGCAGTGATACGCGAATCAGCTGCCCAAACATACGCGGTTTGACCACGCAACACCTTGAATGATTCGTAGTCTCGGAACCCTTTTGACCATGCAACACCTTGAATGATTCGTAGTCTGGGTGCTTTGGCAGCAAGCTATCAGAAAAAACATCAGAAAACCAATTCAACTCACGGCAGGTCCATTGGAGGAACATCGTTTTTGGGAGGCTGAGATGTTTCATCTAGGTGGCTAAGATCGGACCGCAAACTCTGCTGCTGCTGCATCTGACCACCCAGATCCGTCTTGGTTTTATTGGTTTCAGGCCTTTCACGCTGCGCTGTCATGGCACGCCCGGGTCCCAGCGATTGGCTACACAGGAGATTGCAAGCACATTGCTTCAAGCTCAAAAAAGGAACCCACGGACTCGACCACACCAGTGGAGCTGTTTCTTTGCGACGCGAATTCCGCTTCGCTTTCGCGGAGAAACAGCGCTGCGGATGACGCTCCAAGGCGTTCGCCTGGTCCGGCCTTGATTGGGAGCTTCGGTTCGGAGCGAGCGCACTGGGCAGCTTGCGGGGTGGGTGCGGAAGAACGCGCACCGAAGCGATGGAACACGGGTGTGGGGCGGTTGGGGGAGCCCCTTTTGAGGGAGAAAAGACGACCGCAGAGAGAAACATGGCGTATTCTCATCCACCACTCAGTGGTTTTCAGGGTCCATGTCACCTATCTATCCATATCATATCCATCCATCCACCTGCTCTTTGGGTGGATACCAGGTGTCCTCACTAATTTAAAACCGTGATCTACCGAAACCAACTTGCCCAACACGAAACCTGCCCCGAAATTCCTTGCCCCAACGGTGGCCACTGGCACGTGTTTTCCTTGTACTATCCAAAGCCCCACTTGACCTTTTTGCTCCAAACTATTTCAGCTGATCGTCACGGAAGGACTGCTTTCATGGCTCTCCCGGTTCACCGGTTCACCTGGTTTCCGCGCCCAAAAGGGTTTTGGCCAAATGGACCCCCTGGCCAAAACCTATGGCAGTCCTATGGCTGTCCCAGACAGGTCGTGTTTGGATCAAAGATCATGGAACAGTTGAAACGGATTTAGAGTTTTTGGGTTGAGCACCTCGCCTGCACGCACCAGGGCACCAACCAGGGCACCCAGCTATACGAAAAGGCTCTCGGAGAGCCTGGCGCCCGATGCTACCAGTGCACAGCCAACAGAAAGGATGTTGAGCTGTTAAATGCTCTTAAGTCATGTAGAATCCCTAATACACCTGCCCATTTGGATCCAATTGGATTGTAAAAGCTCTTCTGCCTCCGGGGGACTATTCATCAAGATTCTACATTTGGGGGATATACCTTTCTTTTTGGATAGTCCAACTTACAAGCAAGTGAAATGAATGCAAATGTTTCCCTCAAGCTTGGACCGTCAGTACGGTTACCCCATGTCGCTCCGTCTGCCAGCTAGCAGCTAGTTTGCCTTGCTCATCAGAAACTTCTTGCGTTGAAACCCAGCTTGGACCAGCTCTGTTTCTAGGTCTGGCAGTCTGCAATGTGACTGTAAAATCACTTTGGCACCAGATGCGGCAAAGTTTTGGATCCTGTGTTGGTCCACCGACCAGTTCCGCTCATCCCCAAACCGCGACCCGACCGCGCCTGCGGGTCCCATTCACGAGATTGCAACCTGAGAGGAGGCAGGGACGAAGACTTCGGGCGGAAAAGGTGGTACAAACCACTGCAGTGGGTGGTGGAAAGGGACCAAACATGACCAAACGGTCAATTCATGTACCAGGAGACCTTGGTCGTTGTCACGTTTTTTTGGTTCCAGAAGGAGCCCTGACCTGTCTGGGAGGGTTATATATATATATATGGGCGGGCGCTGATTAGGGGGGTTGGGGGAGTGTTCCAAAACCTATTGAACTTAAAGTTGCTAGTGCTAATGTCAGCACCCCCATGCCCCAGTCAGAAGCTAAAGAAGGAAGTGAGGGAAAACATAGCTGTCATTCATCAATTGAAATTGAACAAGAAGCATGTTACGGTACCTCATTGATTTGAAGGATAAAGCACAAATTACAACATGGACACAGGTATATCAACGAACTTCTTTTACAACACCATGTTTTCAATGTATAAAGCCTACTTTATGCTGAAGCATGCTGGTACTACAGTATATAGTTAAGATTGTGCTTTCACCATCAAGGCTGAACATGAAAAGAAACGAAGGAAATAGTTGGAGGCTGCAGAGTGAGCACGTATGCGGATATTCAATTACCTAATGAAGTTTACCAAGTTGTAGAAAATCAAAATGTAGAAATATCAAACTCACGATACTGGTGAATTTGTGTGTAAAGTGGAGAAAGTGAAACAGGTAATGATTAGGATATGATTGCAGGAGCAGGCTAAAGTCATATTTGCCAGAAAGTTGATGATAAAGCTTGCACAGTATTATGTGTATGCCCTACTAATAGGTTATTACACAAATTTGAAGATGATGCCATAACAATAAACAAGATTTTTGGTATAAGTGTTGGTGATAAAATAGAACCACTTGATTATTCTGAATCTGATGTAGTAGTATTTGATCAAATCTATTTCATCGGTTTTAGTGTTTATTGAAAACCAAATAGTTTGTTGAGCAATTCTTTTTTGCAACAGGTGATGCCAAACAACGAAAGCCAGTTCAGGAGCTGACAAAAACAAAAGATGATGAAACAATATGTTGATGCAATGATTGACATTATGCTTGAGCATAATATATTGCTGAAAGTATAAACGAGACAGAACACAAAAGACGATGAACAAAAGCTAAACAATATGAAGAACGATACATCTGTAAATACCAACAACTAAACTGAATGAGAAATACTGACCATACTATGTCGTCAACATACAACATAGCACATTTGAATGCGACCTGTAAACATGTAACAAGTGAGAGTAAGAAACTGGAAAGCAGAATAACATGAATATGAAGTAGGTGAATTCTTGATATGCAGGGAGAAAACCAAATCACAAACATGTGTTTGTACTGTAAGTGTCAAACACTTTTTGTCATATTGGTAATGACATTATTACCTTGAAGAATGTAAAAACAAATATGCTTCAATAACCAGAGATTGACACTGAAAAATGAACTGCAATCTTGCTTGGCATTCAACTTGCCATTCTGCTTAATGTAGTCGTATTGGTGGACACATTACAATATTGGATTCTAGTATGTTTCTTGCAAAACATTATCCTGAACGGAATTGGACAGCCTTGATTCTATAGGTACAAAATGATGATTTAAAAACAAAATGCATCATAAGCTACTTTGATGGAAAAGACTACAAAATGCATGATAAAGTAAAGTACTAAAAGAAAGATATGTAAGCGTTCAGCGGTTCTTGGATAATATAAATAGTTAAAGTAGTGTAATTATTGTGGGTGCGGATGTCATATTGATATGAAAGGTTGAAATGTTATGAAAGATTCAACTTGTCAAAGAGTTTCTAATCTTGCGCCTCACTCACTTATAATATAGTGCCTTATTGTTGTCGATGTTGTTGTAGTTGTAAACAATTCTGTGCACAGGTTTGGTCCAGCTTTGTCAACTGCATGGACCCAGCTTCTTTGCAGCGTTGCGAAGGCAAACGACATTGGTGCAAGGATGAAATGACAGAAGACATTGTTTATAAACATGTGTTGTGTTTATAAACTGTGTTTATAAACTACTTCTCAAACAAAAAACAAAACAAAAAAACAATGTTTTCCCATCTCGTCCCAACAACCAAACAACAAAAACAATGATTTGGAAACTATGCTCAATCCTAAAACCAGAAAGCAAAACAACAACGATTTCGAAACTATGTTTATCCTATATTTTTTTTTGCCGAGAAAAGCGAGGGGTGATTGAAAAGGGTCAATGTATCCTATATATTCCAGTCCCATTCGTTGTGTCTGGGTGAAAAAGGACCTTGCTTTTCTCATGCTCAATCATATCCGCGCACCAGAGAAATTATGGCAGCAAAGTATGTGAGGATTCAGTGTCGGGACTCTTTCCGCCCGGGGGCTCGTGTTCAATAATATATATCCGCAGGTTCGGTGGGCACGAACGACCCCCCTAAACCGGCCGAAGTGTTCGCTCGGAAACCCGGGCAGAGAGTCCAAGCTAACTGTGTCCATGGTAGTGGTATACCATGGTATACCCATTCCCAGACACTCCATGGGGCTGGCATATTTACCGATCAGTTGCGGTGGTGCCAGAGGGGTCAATGTAGGCCCCCGTCAGATGGAGTGTCTGGGATTTTTCGTACCCCGTCGGACTAGACGACGTGAGGTCAAAACCCATGCCGTCGGACTGGGGGTGTCCCAGGTCGTTTCTTCACACCGAGGTCAATCTGGATCTGGAGCAGCTGGTATACCACTTGGAAAAACGGGTTGATTAGGCCGGCAGGTTCATGGACTGCAAAAGTGCGCATGGCAAATATATGCAACATGAAACTGAATGGACATGGAAATGGAAATGAATGAAGTTGGAACGAAAACCAAGTGGTGGAAGATCTCCCCAACATCAATCGTCCACCATTGATTCCACAAATGCCACAAATGCCTTCAGCTGGGACCCCGGGCGGCAACTGGGGAACCTCAGCAAGGGGCTGCTCTGTTCAGTGCTAGCACACCAGCAAGGATTCGGGGAACCCGACGCAAAGGCTCCAACAAGAAGTACTTGGGTGCTGCCCTAGAAGCAGCTACCTCCACTAGCTACCCTAAACTGTCCGAATGAGATGGCGTCCATAGCTGGGTACCTATGCAACTCACCATTACCAGATTTCCAGCTGATAAAAACTGCTCCTTCCTGGTGGTGAGCAGGGTGGAGTGGCTAGCCAATTGGCCATGTATTCACAAACGACTTCGGTAGAACGCACCAAGATACCAATGGCGGTACAAACGTTGGCAGCCCAATTGCTGAAACTGTCCTCGTCGAATCTTCATCATGTGCTAGCTGCTATCACGTGCTCCAGCACACATGCTCTATCGAGTGACGTTTCATCTACCTGGAGTCTCAGTTCGTACCGTTGAAAATGAGTACAGTCATATCATGTCATTCCATGTCATGTCATCAATCCGCTCCTTTCACTTATATCTCACATTCGGGTTCGTGGGTTCCATCTTGTTTTAGTTTAGGTTTAGGTCATGATGGTCATGTCCTATATCTTCTCATGTATGAACTGGAGGATCCAGGTGACCTAGTTTGCTGCGTCGATGCTTTGACCCACCGCGCGCCGGACCCCTGGGTACCCCTGGCGCCGCATTCATGTCGGCCCAGTGCGAGGGCAGCAGTGCAGGGGGTGGCAGTGGCAGATGGGGATCTGGCGAGGGCAGGCGGTTGACCCGGAGGGGCAGTGAGCTGATCCCCGACTTGAAAGTGAGCCGACTTCCCACATCACCCAAAACCGACCTCCCTATCTATCTATCCACATACCGAACCAGGTCGCTACGGTGAGCGACGGTTGATGCAGGCGGTCGGTCGCCAGGGCCCTTGAGGTTCGTGCGGAACCTGAGACTGAGGTATGTGGAGCCCTATGGAAAACGTGTCCTGAGAGGGTGATCCTCAAATCACATCAACCAGGACCCCCCAAGGGGTGTCTATTGATAGCCCCTTAGCAGTTAAGGGGTGTCCATTAACAACCCCTTGGGGGTGCTGGAAGAGAAAAATACACTCCTTCGAATCATCTCTCGTGATGTGAAGCCATTGGCATCTTCGTTCCGAATGAGCATGAGGTGTCCGAGTACCAAACAGCTGGTGAACTGCACAAAAAACATGCTGAGGCTTTTCAGAGGTCGAGGAAATTGACACCCTTGTGACATGAGGGTCCAGGTGGTGCAGGTCTGTCTTCCGTCTTTGGAACTTTGGAAGAGAAAAGAACTCCAATCACAAAAGGGTGGCCGGCTGACATGACAAAGACACTTCGGTCTATTACCAACTTGGTTACAGTAAAGGGAAGAATCGACGGGAAACTCGTGGTTTTGGGGTCAACACATGTCAAAACCATGAGTTTCCTGTAGATGTTGGCTTAAATGAATGCGATTGATACCTTCACCGCCCTGGGCCAGACATGTCCCATGTGTGAGTCGGTTTTGGTCCGCCCCCCATTGGACGTGTGGCCCCATCAAAAGATGGTGAGCGACTTGCTTCAACATGACCTTGTCTTGTTCTTCGTTTTCTGTGACCCTAGGGATCCAAATCACATACCGACATGGTACGACTGGACCCCTCCGGTCGACCGACTGGCCTACATCAAGACCGTTTGTTTCTAACCGATTCCCTCCCTGGTGGTTGGGTATGTGCATCGTCCTCGGTGATCCGACTGAAGCCTCCATCAGTGCCAAACAGTTCGAACCATCCACAGAGGGATGGATCGTTTCATGTGGAGCCCTGGAGCCCTGGAGCCCACCATGTGCCGCTCAAACAGCCGGTATGCTACGAAGAGAAGACATACCGTCGTATCCGGCGTAGCCCGGTTTTGGACACTCCAAATGAGTTGCTTTGGATTGTTTTGGTATCACTTCAACCTGTCTGGGGCAGGTACCTTGGAGGGAGAGTGGATGTCTCAATCGGACCTGAGAGAACACCTCAAATGCTCTGCTTGCGCCAAAAGACACGTTTTCGAAGGAAACCATGTTCCACCAAGGCAGATCTGTCTGTCGAACTGTTTGGTCACCCCATGTAGGGGATCTTTGGATGTCTTGTTTTATGTTCCTTCCAGGGGTCGAACTGAGAGGTCTGCCTAGCTTAATACACACTCATGTGGTGAAAAACCACTCATCTGGCCATCCTGAAAATCACACTCAGCAGCTCTAACTCTGACCTCTGAGAGTTTGCATCTTGGAGAACTTCTCACCATAGAAGTCACCTCGGTCCAAAAGTCACAGAGCCACAACCAAGGTCAGTGGGACTTGATGAGACCATATGATATATATATATATATGTGCTCTTGGGCCTTCTCCCAACTATCTGCAGCCCAAGGTAGCACCGAAGGTTCTTATAGGGCTGGTGGGAATGAGTGTATCAAAAAACGCACGAAAGAATGCTGCACCAAGAGGAAAGTATCAGATTTGAATATGAATAACCTTCACAGACCTTCATCAAACTGCTACAGATCTATCTTCTGCTGATGTTCACCAAATGGTGTCTGTCTCAGCTCCCTGAACCCCGTCGAAGCCGATCGCTGATCTGACAATACAGCCAGGCGTGCACATCAGTGATGACCTCTTGGGAATAGAGGGGTCGATTTGGTACCTTACACCTAATATTGGTGGTTCTCTTGGGGGTGTATCCCCTGCATGAATCATCAGACCAAAAAGGCCATCTATGGTGCACATGACAAACACCTTGGGTAGGATATTCATTGTAGACTCTTGATTAACAAACACTTGCTCATTGGGTTGGATTGACCTCTTCAGATGATTATCCCTGCAAGTCCCACGTCTTACTTTTAAGGGTCCTCGGAAATGTTGAGGAAACCGGTCCTAAAAAGTACATCGGCAAAGTCAATTTACTGATGCTCTTTTGAGGTCCCGGACCTTAAAGGAACGTGGGCGAGCGACTGCAGTTCTTGTGGCTTTGGTTGATTTGTGCACGGCCATGACTGAGATCAGGATCAGGAGCATATGAGGCAAAGCAATCACCGGTGTATCAGCTATCCGATGAAGGTTTGTTGGAGACTGCACGGGGTTAGCAAAACAGTCGCCGAAAGAATCGGATCACCAGTCACAAGTACCGTGCACATGCCATGGCCAGAGAGTCTGTGCGTGCACCGGAGCTCGTTTCGAGCAGCTGGCGACTTGTACAACCCCCAACCAACAAACGTTTCCCCATGTGGATTGAAAGACCGAATTCATATTGTGTTTGTTCAATCCGGAGTCTACATGACCTCTCAATCAAAACATGGTACCCTCCTTGGTGGCACTGCGCAACAACTCCAGCCACCCAGGGGAAGCTTCAGCCCCTGAGTCTTCGACCCACACGTTCCTGCCGGCGACCAGTCGGGGTTTTGGAGTGTTTCTTGATCAGAGGTCATCCGAGTCATCAAATGAAGTGAACCTCAAGTGTTTACAGTGGTTTCAGAGTAGATGGCAAAAAACCCAAGATGTCCTATCTAGATAGGGTAGTTAGGAGTCCATATAAACCACCAAACTTGGGGATTGTGCCATCTACTCTGAACCCACTGTAAGCACTCGAAGAGTTGCGTCCTGAAAATCCTGAAGCCCAAGCCTTTCGCTATGATTTCGCAGGCTCACCGGTCTACGAGCACCGGCTTCGGGCCTACCGGGCCGCAGACGCTACCGTCCGCTACCGGAGCACTGTTGTAAAACTCAACATACTTAGAACCACATTTGGGAACAAATGACTAAGTTCAAGGTTCTAAGTAATTATGTGTCTGTCACTAAACAACACATGTTTCAACACAAAAGATCTGCAACACCACAGTCACTACTACATGTTCACTCGTTGGACGGTCGGGCCAACCGGCGGAAAGATAGACCCGGCACCCGTATCGACATGTCTCTTTGAAGTAAATCCATCGACATCGACATCTTCAAGAGACCCAGATGTGGGCAGAACGATGCTTTCACCCGGTGTTTGAGACCCACATGGAACCGGTCTTGACATGGACCAGACTGGAAGATGACTTTCCTCTACAACCCGTCGTGGTGAACTCAGGTTCCATGGTTCATGTTCCACACATTCAATGTCCAAGTTTTTCAGGCATCCATGAAGCTACTAGGTTACTAGGGGCTCCTGGCATCGCTACTAGGAGCAAGGACGTTACGAACGGGGCTCCTGGCATCGCTATCCAGTCGATTTCGACCCCGCCTGGAATTGCTCCTTCAAGCCATCCTGCCGTCGCGTCGTGTCGCCGGAGCGAACGCGGTCGAGCCGTCAGCGTGAAAGATCTGGCACCGTTGGAAAACTACCACCCCCCCAAGGACTGGAGATGTAAAACCCTTCTGGAGAAGGTGTTGTATAGATTTGAATCAATAAGATCATCATGTCATTGTCTTTTCAAACCACTGGTGGTTCCCAAGATGTCTTTATATGCCCAGGGGATCCACATACCCTCTGAGAAGGTGATTGGAGACACTGTTATGTAGGTGCAAGGAGGGTCCAAGTACCTTCTGAGAAGCTACTTGGGTCCCTATAAGGATGGGCGGTTCATATAAACTACCTTTTGGGGATTGTGCCATCTGAAACCACTGTACAAAGATGTACCGCGTCTTCGCAATCTCCTGGCTTCAGTTGGCTAAAGGAAGACAAAGCTGAGATGGTAGGGCAGTGCTTGTTGAAGCAGCAAGGTCCTTGTATCTGGTGACTTTGTGGCAGGGCTCTGCATGTTTTTCCTGCATGGAGTGACCACAGTTTGCATTGAAAGAATGTAACCATGTTCCACCACAGAAACTGATGTGGGCTGGACCCCCCCGCAGCACCTCCCAAACTGCTCATGGAACTGCTCATGGACAAATCTCTCGGAAGATGTTGACGGAACGACTGGTCGGAAGCACCGAAGACTCTGAAGGAAGAGTGCGACATCTGAGAGTGAGCCAGACGGACATTCAGAATAACTTTTGATAGATGGGGGATGATGGGGGGCACCACAGACCTTCTGTCAATATCCACAACCTACTTCTGTCGACACCAATGTTTGCCTCCATCTGATCAAACCCAACGGTACGCTGACGGTTCACCGGCGTCAAGATGAGAGCATCCTCGGAACAACCGGCCTCTTTCAGAAGGCGGCTGATCAAAGGTCCTGTGCCCTGGAGCATTGCTAGGACCTGAATGGCATGAACACGGCAGAGCGGCCCTAAACGAAAACGCGGCCAGGGCCAACGCTGATCAACTGTCCATACCTATCCCTACTGCACGACCTGCCTGGGACTGGCAGATTTGCTGACCTGGCCAGGGCGATTAACCTGCGATCTATAGGCATATATTCTATACCCATGGAGTGTCGGATTATCAATGGGCGACGTCTTCACATGATTTTCCGGAACCAAAGAACGCCAATTCCTGTCTTACCGGACCTGGCGGCAAGCAATCATGGAAGTTCGCAGAACTTGTATAGTATGTCGACGTCCTTCTGAAGGCTAAAAAGAAGAAGAAGAGGAATAATAAAAGATATGTATTAAAAGGGCTTTGGATGGTCCTCTTGAAACCTGCTTGGTACCTGACAAAAGCAAATCATTACTTAATCCCAACTCTTCCTGTCAACTGCTTGGTGACCTTGGTATTTTGTTGAGTCACCCTCAAAAGAATCACCTGCCATCTGCTCCTCCCCCATTCCACTCACACCGCTCATCCTCTTGACAACTCAAACCTCACATCAAACGAACTCTCGCCACTCTGCTCGCCCGAGGACTCTCAAACATCACTCCCCCTGCGGCATTTGCCGCGCCGAGAAAACCACCCCTATCCGCCCCCCGCTGATCGTCTTCCATGCTCCAAACCCGAACACGAACCACATCGGAAAGCCAACAAAACGCCACACCCGACCGTGTTCAACCCGTGCGGGTTTCACACACTCCGCGCTACGCTCCGCCCTACGCTCCGCCCTACGCTCCGCGCTACGCTCACCGAGGAGCCGAGGTGACCTTGGTGTCCCAGGTGAGGATCGACGCCACGGACGTGCCGAAGACGTCGGAGCTCTCCACGCTGCCCGTGACCTGCGGGCGGTGGCGTTACCGGAGCGGCGCGGCGGGAAAGAGACGAATGGCGTCGCCCGTGTCATGGTGGGTTTGGGGTTCGTTCTCGGAGGCCTGAGGAGCCTGAGGAAAAGGAGGAACAAACATGAAGAAACATGGAACATGATATAACATCCTGCAACTGTAAACGAAACAACCGTTTCACACAAACCATCTGTGGTTTTCAAACACCCAAGTATTCTGTTCAACAAGAATCCAAGAGGCCATTCACTGTGACATTACCACACATAGAACGCATTTACCTGAATTTGTCCTAAGCTTCATAAACAAAGTCGAAGCATGTCCATGCCAAATCAAACATATAGACAGACTGAACTACATGTCTTTCATTCTTGCCTGAGCCGGACGCAACTTGGTTGGTCCCAAGTGCAGGAAAGAACACATCTATGAGAGAACAAAAGCGCAATAAACAAGTTAGTTAGTGCAAAGTGAGATGACGAGACAATGGCATCGAAATGGCAAGGAAATGATCAGGAATCTAGAAAGCAAAGAATGACCCACTGTGACTGTAATTCAGCGTCAAGTTTATTTGAGAATCGCTCATTGTCCAGGGAACCTCTCTTGAACTTTGTTCTTGCAGTCTTTGAAAAAAATAACATGTGCACAAATGAACTTGGCCGAGCCACTGTCTGCATCTTTGGGAGCGACAGCATGGTATTGTACCTTGGCCGGAGACTGTGTGAAGACACAAAGCAGGCTGTACAATTTGTAACCATCGTGCTACTCCAGACTGGATGTACATGTTGTGATAGTGTGGCAGCAGGAAGAAGTGGGTAATGGCACCGCACATTTTGTGCGACGCCCTCTGACAGCTCCTCCCTGCGTTATTAAAACATTGTCTCGATTCATTCATGGGCCACGTGCAAGCTTAGACCCTAGTTTAGGATAGTATGATACCTTCCTCCCATTGCTTTACTAAAGATTTTACACTGCAAAGCCAGGTCAACCATTCTTGCAAAGGTCTTTGAAGGCTATACATATGATGCATGCTTCTTGTCTTCTAACTACCATGATGGTATACCCGGTATACCCCAAATTGATGTATCTCCCATACAACACTAGGGTTCCAACCATCTCCTCAGGTTCGGTGGGCACGAACGACCTCCTATAGCACCCACCCCAAGTAGATCTTCTCCGAAAACGGAGGTAGGGGACGGCCAGGCCGGGAGATCAACACCAAGTTGCCAGGCCAAGCCCGCGGGTAAATCCACCAACATCACGGGATAGGCGCCATAAGGTGAGACGCTCCTGAGCGACACCCCGCTCCGCTCTCGGCTCAGGTGGCTGAAGCGAAGCATTCCGGCGTTCTGGCGGAAGCCCAAATGGTGTGTGTTCCAAGAGCGGTTAAGTGACCTTAGAAGGCCATACTGGGGTGCCTATGGGATAGTCTAGAGTTATTCAATCTCATTCAACCTCTGTATTTTTTCTGAAGTGATTAGCTGGTGGCCAGCTGTCTCAAGTGCTGACTGTGGTGAAGGCGTACTGTTAAAACCTGTGAGCACAAGACACTTAGTGATGGTTCGTAGCAAAGTTTGTTCAACTTCACGGACAGCAAAAGGCACCAAATACAAGAAGATGCAACATGTAACTTGTAACATCAACATATATATAGTAACTATATTTAGTATATAGTATGCATGATCTTCGATCCCAGCGGACTCGCTGAGCTCGGGACTGATCCCAGCGGACTTCTTGCGAGGCCACCTCCTGGAGTGGGGATTCCGCAAAAGGTGTCCATTCCGCGCGGATGGATCTGTTTTCTTCCCCACGGATGGATCTGTTTTCCTGGGTGAGTTTTCAGAAGATCTTACACTGTGATCTATTAAGATGACTGACAGAAGATCTATGTGATCTGTGAATCAATTGAAGGCATGGCTTGCTGAACAGCCATGTCTCCACAGATGAATCTTGGCTGGAACGGATCACTGATCATCGAACGCAAGACAAAGGCTCGCAGCCTGCCCTCTCCAATGTCCACGCAGGACACGTACGGGAGAGGGGTTGGGCGAAAACGATGCGCTGAAGCGCGCCGTTTTGAGGCTTGGTTGAGGCTGATTCGTGCCCCTTCACGCCCCTTCACCTGCCGAGCTAAACAAAACCAACCTCCATGGCCTGGAAGCTTGGGATGTTTGTGAAGAGAAAAACCGTCCTGGCCAGCAGTTTGCTGCACCTGTTACGCGGAAAACGAATCCATTGGATTCCATTGGTAGCACTTGGGAAAGCGAATTACTGTAAGTAAAATCCTTTGCACAAGCGATGAAGATCTCATCCTGCAGAACCAAACAGAACTTCATGCATGAAGCACAAAAGTCGGGCCTCAGAAATGCGTGGGGCTAAGGTTCGCGGGATTGACTTACCTTTCAAAAAGTCCGGATTCTCTGGTTTCCCGTGCACCAATCTGAGGATAATTTGCTGTAAGAATCAGACCCTGACTCCCTGACAAGTCCAGGAACCCCTCCCTACAATATGCTTGAACTTGAACCATCAAAGCTCATCAGTGTCGTGGAACTATATATATCCTCAAAACATCCTGAAACATGGTGGCTCGTTCTCACCATCCCCTGACTCTGGTTTCAGGTCCAACTCGCCAGATCGCCTGGATGCCAACGGCGTTGCAATAGCCGCCCAAGCTCCCACATTCCACCTGAGAGTGGAGAGTCCACGTCCGTCCGTCCCTGACGTGAGAGTCCATCGGAGGTCCGACAATGGCCTTCCCCCCATGGCGTTGTTTTTTTTGGCTGGCCCATCAGTTGGCATTGAAATCAGAGAGGTATGCCAGCCTCACCCCCAACGATTCTCTCTGCCCCTGCTCTTCCAAATGTCCAAGCACATGAACGCCAAACACGGGTGTCCTGGCCCCCAACGCTTCGACCGAGATCTCTGCGAGCTCGTACGGTGCGAAACCATCATCACACGCCTCCGAAACCTGAAAAAGAGGTCCCTGCATTCTCAGGAGGAGCTACCCATAGGTACCCGGACCGTCCGCACCAAGACGGGGCTCCGCACGTTGGGCGGCGCATGGCTGGAGGCGAAAAGCCCTGGGATCTCATGGTGGATGGAGTTCACCACTCGCACGAACCTTAGTCATGAGTCGAACGCCAGGAGCTCACGGCCGCCGCGGCATTCTGACGACGTCGACTCGAGGGCCGCGGACTCGTGGTGGGAGGAGTTAGCTGAAAAGAAGCCATTTGAATGAGAATGTTCTTTTGTGAGGGTGTTCTTTTGCTCATCCAAGTTCAATCTCACATTTGAATCTTGAAAATCTTTCCAAGTGTGTTTTGTTGGCTTGAACTTGGAAAGGATTTGCTTAAAGCCTTTTGCGCCGTTTTGGACCTCGCCTGTAGCCGCTTTGCCTCTGTCAGGCAGGGATGGGGAATTACTGGAGAATGAATCCAAAAGGCGAGGCAGCAAATCCTTGTTGTGAAGTAAATGGAAATCCACAAAAAGTCATCTGCTAAGTGCAGCGGAGTCAATCAAAAAGAACATAGTTACTTTGATCGGTTTGATGATCTTTCACTTTCATGAACCCCCTTATGAAGCCTGTTTTCAGGTACTCCCTTTTGCGTTGCTTGCCTTGATAGCATAAGAATTAATCATCAATGTGTCAAATAGCAAGACTCAAAGCAGTCCAACAAATGAATTGCCCGGCCCGAATGTCCACTTACCTCCAGGTCGGAAGAACATCTGGTGCGGAAGAACTGCGCAGGCCCAGGCACTCCACGTTGGTAAAGACTTGCTTCACCAAAGGAATCTCCAAGTAGGGAAGCACCATCAGTTTCCACTGCTCGTGGCCTCAACAAAAATGACCACATTGGACAACGTGAGGTTAGGCGCGAGCAGGGAGGAGTGATTGTTCTATCGATTTGGTGGACAGGAGTGGCAGTTGAGGTGCAGGTGGATTCAACATCAACACGTTCCCTCTGAAGAGAGGTACGTGTTGCCTTTTGTGTTTTGAAACACATCGGCGTTTGGACTTGCTTTCTTGAAAGGAGAAGAATAGTTGATGGGAAAGTGGTAGACTGGAACCACAAATTTCCGGTTTTTGCTTCCATGTCTTCAGTCTTTTGACTTGTCCAGAATCACCCTCAAAGCAACTGTCCCCTGACAATCTGACGGGAATGGAGTCCAATGTCATCTGCAGGGGGTCATGAGGGACTACATTTCTCAGCACAACCCACAATGACATTATATTCGTGAAGTCGTCTGCTGCCCTCCGTCCAATCCGCCCACTCGACATATGCAGAATGCAGCTCCAGCCGCTTCCAATCTCCAAGTGGCTCGAGAACCAGAAGCCTTCCTGCACTGTAATCTTTCCTCAGCTTGGATTTGTTTAAGGAACAGGAAACAAATAAAAAGAATCACCAGAAGTGGATGTCACCTTGGGGGGAAAATAAGCAAGTCACTTGATCCGCAACCACGTCGCCCGCTTCACGTCGCCCGAGATTTCACACAACCCGTCGACCAGGTCCTGTCATCAAACCTTGTCCTGTCGTAAAAGCGAGATCGATCGAGATTCATTGAGTCGTGTTTTGGGGGGATAAACAACTGAACAACTCGTAAAGTGAGGTCGTTCACTGACCTGGTTCGTGGTAGAAGACTCTGAAAAAGTTTGGTGGCCTGCTGTGTGTGTGTTGAAGAAATACATGATAGATCACCGAAGGGGGTCCCACCTGGCAAGCCATACCACTCTGGAAGAGGAATCCCAAAAAACACCAAGAAACTTATATAGACATTGAAAGAAAAGAGCTCAATTGTGTCCCAAGTCTTTGTTGTGTCTTCCACTCTTGCGTCGTGCATGAAAGAGAACGAGCAAACCATAAGGTCGACCATATCAACCACGATCAACCATCACTCGAGTGATTGGCGTCTCTTCGACGACCGCGTGGCGATCATCTTGCGGATTCGTAAAGTTGATCGCCTTCAGACGGATCTGCTTCCTGCGGAGGCGACGGAGCCGCTGGTGGGCTGCCAAGGGTCGAGACGCGTCAGAAAAGGTGCAGCCACAGACTGAGAGAGGGCAGTTTTGCAAACATGGATTCCTTGCCATAACTCATTTAGGTGATCCAGAGCCAAACAGGCAAAGCATTAAATGCAGTTGATTGTGTATCGAAGTGCAGTCCTAGATCTTAGTGCCTATAACTGGTGCTAAGCTCCAGTCCAAGACTAAGACGTCTTGAAAAATAACGCTGCCGTCATGGTGTCCAAGACTAAGACTCCTCCCGCAAACGAAAACACCAGCGGAGACGACTCGTCTCCGTTCCACCTTCCCACGTTGAAGGTCGAAGGGTCTCTTCGTGTCGAAGGTCGAAGGCGTTTTTGAGTGGGTCTTCCGTGAAAACGAAGACGATATATGGAAACACCACGACGATATGGACCATTCTTGGGGCTGCTAATGGTTCAAAAGAAGCTTCGACCTAAAAAGCTTCCTCTCAAGGACGGATGCTTCGATCCCAGAGGTCTTGGTCGTCTGCAAAGCGGTGGATATGTCGCATCTGCAACGCGGCTTGGACAAAAGCAAAAACAAGGAAACATCAACCATCAGTCACAAAGGTGGGGGTTGAGTCACATCCGAGTGGATATTGGGCACCACGACTTCCTCCAAGTTCGACACCCTTTGGAACTGCTGGAACTCAAGTTTTGGTGCCCTTTTGGCGTCGGCCCACCCACATGCAAAGCCAGATCCTGCAGTCCTCTCCCACATTTTATCTTTCTCCTCTTTGCCGTTCTCCGGATAGCTGGACCAATCCTTCATGTGTGGCATGTCCGCAGCTGTCTCTTTTCAAAACGTGGCATAGCCCCCAGAGTGAAAGAAATCCCTGGGTCAAGCCGGTCAAGCTAATAAGTGTGTTTGCTACCACTTCTCCTCGATGTGAACCAGGTGACACGTGACACAACATGGAAAAACAGACACCCAAGCCGACGGTTTTTGTGCCTGACACGAAGAATGGAGGCATATTACGGTGAACAATGGAGCAGATGCAAGTAACATGGAGAAGCTAAGGATGCTACGTGAGAAGCAGGTATAGATGATGGGTCCATGTTTCACAACACGGATTGAACCATCTGAGGTTAGGTTAGCCGCAGTTGCTTCTCCATGACCCCATCTGTTTTGTATATAATTAAGATGTCTTTTGATGAATCAAGTGGCATTTCACTGTCCTATAGGGCCGACACAACAATGTAAGGATCAGAAGGTCGGAATTGGAATGCAACACAAGAGCACGGTGGCCCACACAAGATTCGGAGCATTTTTCGAACTATCCCGAAATCATGGTATGAGTGCTCCTGACCAGATGGGCGGTCTAGAAAGAAGTCGAAATGTGTCAAATCTGAACCGCGGTTCTAGACCCTAAAGCCATACTGATTCTGTAATTCAATCGACCTCCCCTGCCCCACTGGCCATACTGGCCGTTTTGGTGCATCAACATGAGCTTTGCCCACGTGGCGAAACGGTCACCGCGTCGCTCGCGTTCGACGCGTTCGACGCGAGGCACGGCCAACAAGTCGACGAAGAGGACCAACAACTCGCCCTCGTAGGCGTCGTCCAGGAAGGCCGGATGCACGGGCACCTGAAGAACGGTTTCACCCAAGGGGGAAACGAAAAAATAGAAACATAGCTGCATGACATAGCTCAGAATAGCTATATCTGCTATTACTAAGCTAAACCAAGTGTGACCCTCCTAAGCTAAGGATCGCTAAGAGGAATGCAATAACCTTGTTCAAGAGTTCTCCTGCACCGCCCACAAACTCCGACCGCGACAGCTCCGCTTGCGAGTCCGAACCGGATCAGCACGATGGAATCACCGGAACAGTACTGTGCAGTGTGCGAATTGCATCGTTTCGCAGTGGTGGTATGATCCAGTGGTCCAGGTGGGGGAGGGCATGTTACGGGAAACAGTCCTCACGCGTGGAAGAATTGGTTTTTTTGCAACCTCTATCAACCTCTGCCGGCTTTGCGTATCCACATGTTGCGTATCCCCGAAACAGGGCAAACAGCTGGCAGTTGGCACATGGTTTTGCAATGTATTGAATTAGTGCCAACCATCTGCATGCCACTGCATGCTGCGAAACACATCCTTATGCGGACCTGGGCGACTCCGAATCTGGATGGGCGGCTGGGTACACCAGGTACACCTGGCCTGGGCCGGCTCTGAGTCCGTGTGGTCTACAAATGTCCACCACTCCCACAAGCAAAGAGCATGCGGAGTCCTTCACTTCAGCGCCATTGCTACTCGATATGTGTCTTCGAACCAATGCCCCGGTCAGCGCGCAATAGCTTCGGGATGCTTTTCTCGCAGCAAGCGAACATCGCTGAAGCTCCGCATGTCGGGGCGCTCGAAGCCCCGTCGCACGAGTCATGCGAGTCGTGTCGAGGCCTCTTCCAGTAATTTGACGCAAGGCTGGACCCCCAATAGCCCCGGGGAAAAGAGCCACACGCGGCCCTTTTTCTCGTGCGTCCAAGTTTGTCACTACTGTAGCAGTCTTGCAACCACCAAAGACTCCTCTGCTTGTTGCATCATTGCAGCTAGACGATTTATGGATGAGATACAAGTCTGGTTTGGCCTTGCGGCTAAAGCTGATGCTATCGTTGCAGCTTCAGGTCACCAGCTCCGACGAGTTACTAAAAGCCAACATCTCGGCACACAACAGTGAATCGTACCAACTACATGGTGAACAACACGGCACCCGGGGGTCTTTAAGTCGTGCAATTACTTGTCAGCTCCTCACCATGTATAGGACGGTAACCAGGTACTGCACATTTACCTCATCAATCTCCTGGCCTGCCATAATATGCACACTAATACACACTAAGCTCTAAGCTCACTGATCCTTCCTTCAACTTGCCATCACCCTTCTTTTTCAGCAGTGTCACAGTGTCCCTACTGAAAAACATAACAACAAAACACGCTTCCCCCTGTGTGCTTCCGAAGCTCTGTCTCATAGCCCGACGCGTTCGTCGCATCGTGTGTGGTATTCCTGCCGCACCGGGCCCAACGGCCCTTCGGTACCGCCAATCGGGAACGGCTTATTTGTTCTCTTCCTATGCACCACTATGTCGGTAGTAAAGGAACTTGGAAGGGATAGGGGTGCCCAGCTACTCTACTCACTTGATAACCAAAAAACCACCCAACTCCATGTGACTCCCGGTTCACCAACAGGCTGTGAAACTGGAGCCAACGCTGTGAAACCTTGTTGTTGTGGAGAGCAAAACACATGATCTGCAGGTTCCACTGCCTTGAGATGTCGAGTTTGATTTGTGTTGAATGTCTGTGACTGCGACTGATGCGATTGTGCATCACAAACTGGCCAAGCCATCCCCAAGCGCGGTAAGTAGGCACAAGGTGTTTATCCTTGCTTTTCTACCCATCGATAGCACACCCGCCTGATGCGAGACACTGCGCGCAAGGCACCGGTGCCACGTCCCGCATAGAAAATGTTCACCTCAGCGTGGCGTGTTGCGCGAACTTCCGCCCCCGGTGCGTCGCTGGTCACGGGTGACGCGAGCGAGCGAGCGAGCCCGCGTGGGGCTCTGAAGGCTTCGATCGTGGGCGGTTCTGAGTACTGAAGCTGCGAGAGGCCGATGGGGGAAGATGGGAGAAAGACCAGGCGCTGCTTGGGAACATGCCCAAATGCTCGGAGAGTTTCGCGAGTTGCTGCATGGTGAAGTCAAAAGATGTCAAAAGGATCAAAAAAGGTGCAATGACCAAAGTACAGAAGAGTGTTTGGTTGGAGAATGCTTTTCAGAAGAACAGGTGAGATTGAAACGTGCTTTTTATGCTTTGGCGATCCCCAACCTTAAACACCTACAGCCTTGCCAATTTGGACCATTGCTGTTGAGTGTCATTGAAAGCATGACAGCTACTCAACAGAACCAACAGTTATATAAGTTATAACTGTTCTTTGGAGCTCTTCAACATCAACCAAAACAAAGAAAAACACGCCAACCAAAGCACCCCAATGAAACCACACCCTCTCCCTCACCCCGTCCTGCCCCACCCACCGCGGCACCGCCGTGGAGCGCATCCGCGTCAAGCGCCGCTCCCAGCGCTGCGCCAAGGCGGCGTAGCGCGGGCCCTGGCGGACGCCGTCCACGGAGACGCGGTGGCGGAGCGGGCTGGGCCCCCTCTGGCCGCCGAGAACCGGAGGCTCCACAGTGCGTGAGAGAGCGGATGAAAAACATGCAGGAGTCATGCAGTGCTGCAGAGACGATCCATGAATTATGAGAGCTCCGCAACTGAAGGAGACTTCTGGTGAGACCTGTTGTGCCAAAACTCTGCCGAAGACATTGCCACGTGTTTTTGTTGCCCACCTCATCAGCGCGGGATCGTAGAACTTTGCCTCAGCGTTCACGTGAATGGCCCGAAATGGGGCTATATCACTATCAACAAATACATGTCATTTACAGCAATTTATATTCGATTCATCGCTGAGTGATTTGTTCAATTTTTTGGTTGGAAACCTTTTTTTGACATGTGTACTTTTGATGCTCTTCCCCCACTCTGAACTTTCAGCATCCGCCATTGGAGGTGAGGCGTTGGTTCTGCTATCTTTTTCATCGGGTTAGAACGCTTTGTAGATGTTGCTCAGTACTCATGTAAACGAAACCTGCGCCAGTCCACGTGCCTGATAGCAAAACCGTAGGTACTAGTACTATACATCCTTGAAAATTTATCCAAATATCGGCAGTCGCAACAATGTTTTCACCACCAAACTTTGGATGGCAAAACGAGCATCCACTCGTTTGGACGGCCCGAACAAACTCAGGAAGGGGTTCCACTCCGTGAATTTTGAGTACAACCCCAGCACACATTTGCATCTGATTCAGAGGGGTTGCGGACGGGAAAGACACATATTTGATATATTAGTGCACCAGTCTGACGAAGCACGATTGGACTTGCATCATGTCCGCCCGAATTAGTATATGCTATACGGTTCATCTGAATCTAGGCAGCTTGTAGCCTTCTCTGGGTCTTGTGTCCGTATCCATCCTGGACACACGTGCCACACTAAGCCTGTTTGGGCATCTTTCGTGTCAAGTGGCTTACCGCGTAGAGCGCCCAGGCCAGCTGTCCGTTGTCCAAGCCGGGGACCTTCGCGAGGCGAACCACAAGCTGTGCGACACGAGCGGCCAAAGGCTGCTGCACCGAGGTGGAATCCGATGCGGTGCGACTAGCTGAAACCATGAAACCCTATAGGGATCCAGTCGTACCGAACCTCAGGTTCGGTACGACTGGACCTTCCAAACCCTATACAATCACCTTCTGACAGGGTATGGGAGCTGGATGGGTTGGGATGGAACATATCGAGAAAAACGCGCAAGCCTCCGAAGACTTTAAAAGCACCATGAGAGGCCGACTGCATCAAAAGTACCAATGAGAGGCCGAAGCCTGAGCAGGGTGGCTAAAAAGTCACAGAGAGCAATGAAATTGGTATGTCATTTGCTGATGAATCGCTTGTTTTTGGATACCATTTGAGTGTTTAAGTACCTCTATTTCATAGACCCTTACTGGAGACAGTCGTTGACATTGTATATAAACAAAATATTACAAAGTAATTGGCAAATCCAGCAATTTGAACAAACAGTTCTCCTGAAATTCCAGAGCTCTCCAGCATTTTTGTTTCTTTTGATATATTTGCAAGCAAACCCCTCGACCATTCCCAGTGGGAGTCTTCGGCACTTCCCCGTGTCGCTCGATCCGTAGGGCCAAAGCGGAGATGGTCGTCGGCATGGGTGGTCGTCGTGTGAGGTAAGCAATGTGACGTCTTTCTCTTGTCTCCGTTGCATTGGGGGCGACCTTTTCCCTTGCCGCCCCGCCTTTTCTTTTTGTTCATCGCCCGATGGAGCATTGTGGCAGAACTTTTGCTCATCGGTCTCATTTGCATTCTGGCACTGATCATGTCCGCATATACACGGCCTCCTCTTCCAAAAGCCCGCGGTCCCAGCATTGCTCTGCTGGAGCAGCGTTCTATCCACCACGAGGAGCGGATCCCGCGACCATCGGTCCAGAGAAGCAGCGTGACAGCTGGTTGTTTCTGCAGCGTGGCAGCTGGTGCCAGAGAAGCTGCACTGTGACCCCAAACTGCAAGTCTGCTGCCCAACTGAAGCGACGGCACCGAGTGTTTAGCGATCAAGTGAAGAGCGTGAAACTTGTTCGAAGCATTCTAAGTGAGTCTGTTTCAGGCGTTCGTAACGAAGAAAACGAAGATGGATTTTCCAAACATAAGGCTGTTTGAATGTGACAAGAATAGGCTTTTTGCCAAAAGGTTTCTTGAAGGCAAAACTAACATCTATATAAAGCTCTTGGAGACATCTATATATATATATATAGTGAATCAAAAGGAGACCATAACAATTTGGGGACATGTAGAGACCCTAATTCACTGTTCTGGACCATCCAGAACTCTTTCTTTAACAAAGGAGACATCTCGTGAATCAAAAGAGTTCCGGACTGTCCGCAATCTCTCCCCTGTTTTGGCAACCTCTTTCGCCAGCTCCGCCACACACCAAAAAAGAACGGCTGGCCGGTGCACGTGCCTTGCCCAAGAAGTCGTTTGTGGCCGCTAACCTTGAGGCCTCAACGAACGGATTTGAGTGGCAACATCTACTACAGTCACCATTCCTTTGGTTCCGCGGCCAAGCAAAACTGGCGCTTTACTTTGGCAGCAGGTCTGACTTGCTCACTTCCTTCGCGGACCTCCTTCCTCCAAACATGTTTGAGTGTTCCAATCTTCGACCAAGCTATATATATAGAGAGAGAAAGCTGATTGCTTCTGCATCCACCACTGCGGCCACCAGCCGGACGTCCCGTCATCTCCCACGTGGCGACCGTCGGCCACAACGTCCGCCTCCTCTTGTGGGTTCAAGCACCGACGTGCACCTGGCTGCCACCCGGCACACTCAGGCGTCACCCGGCGCGAGAATTCGTCTGAGTGGTGCGGACCCTAAACCATAAGGGAAAGGATCCACAAGAATCTAGAGTCGGGGGGGGTGGTCATTCCCTCATTCCGACCCCTTAGGAGCACCAGTCAGTGATGTCTTATTGATACAATGGGTCTTTTGATGTCTTTTGCCATGCACTTTGGACTCAGTCAGTTGCTGTCCTGCTGAAGCCTAAATTGTCATCTGTCTTTCAGCGACCTTGCAACCAGGATGGTCAGATCAAGAAAGGAACACCCACAAGATTGAAAAGTAGAACATGGACCCTTGGATGACTCTTTTCCTGTATATTTATATAATCAGAAAGATGCCATCCACTTCCATGTGATGTGCATCCTCTTTATCGATCTGCTCGTCGACTCCACGCCGGATCGACTCCGCGCCGTCGACTCCGCCTCGTTCAGTGGCGCCCCGTGAGCAAAACCACGGCAGGAAGCCGCCGTAGCCGGGCTCCGCGGCGTCCATGAGCTCCATACTGGTCACCTGCGGTGTTCAGGAACTGGATCTGTAACACCGAGAGGACCCCTTTGACTCGGAGTCGGCCCAAAACATGACGTGTTTCTTTTTTGCGGACTGGAACTTCGGGCTTGCATTACCCCAAAAACAAGGTGATGAAGCTATGAGAAGGTGTCTTTGTTTCCTGGATGAGAAGGTGTCTTTGTTTCCTGGCCAACACAAAAGTATGATGTGTTGCCTTAGCATTAGCCTCGTTTGTTTTTGCAGATACCTGTACGAACGGCAGGCTAGAAAGCAAGTATATCAGTATATAGTGTATTGGCCTTGGCAAGTGTATCACCTCTTTTACAGAGCTATCAACAACACAGTCTAATGGACATGCAAATGAAACAAACTCCTGCCTTGACCAAGGCAGGGTTTGTACATGTGCCTTTTCATAGTTGGGTGGGACAGTCCACCACCTACCAAACGAATAAAGAATTATTTTGAGGATTTTTGAGGTGGGTATACCGGTATACCCACCTCCTGTTTATTAATGTTGAGAGTCCGGACTGTCTGAAATAATGTTCATTCATGTTCAAAAAACCTTGTAACATGATGCAACTTGGAAAAGGACATCTATATAACTTCTTTCGGAATATGTTTGTACAGCAAATATGTTGGACCCTTTGACTCTAAACAAAAAAATGACCCCCACATTCACTCCGTTTAAAGTAATATCGATGTGCAAATTAGTTCAACAATAACATATTTCTGGGTAGTACTGCCACCTGTGAAATATATTCTGATGTTATGGGACATGTTTGTACCTAGATTGTACGGCCAGTGATTAGCCTTGAACCTCTTAGATGGGAGCAGGTTGATTCTACAAAGCAAAGAAAGCCACATAGATGTACACATCCTGCGGGTGCTTTTGGATTCAACCGGTGAGTACCCAAGGCCCTAGGCCCTAACCATGATGTTCAAACTGTGAAGAATGGTTTGACCTTCATAATAGCAGGGTGTCTTCCACCTGCACTTTGGAGAACCATATTCTATTAAAAGTAGATGCACCACCTATAGGTAGGCATAGAACCATTTAGGACGACCAACATACTAAGCAAGCCAAGTCCAAGTCCAAGTCCAACCAAACAACCCAACCCCCAGCTCCTCCCCGACCAAAAACACCTGGCGCCCTTCGATGTGATACCGCACCTTCTTCTCCAGGATGTCCAGTGCCTCCTCGTCGCTGTAAATGAGCGGAGCCACGTCTGAGCGCGTGGAGCAACCGGATCGACGCGAGCGCAGCCGCCCTCGCTCTTCGGGGAGACAACAACGGGATGCATGAGCCGGTTTTTGGTTGGTAGCTAGGTAGCTAGGTTGGTTGGATTGAGGCAAATCAAATCCACAGAAGACCTGTCTATATGGAACACATTGGCCAGTCTCTCTGGGTGGGGGGGGCTGTTACTTTCAAACGTTTTTGGTGGTCATATCTATGTATTGTCATGAAGAATCTGGTTTGGGAACACAAAAAAAACATTCATGGGCCACAAGCGTGTCATCTTTTAAAAAATATGAAGCTTGTGCCGCTAGAACTTTCGTGTCAGGTCTTCGTGTTCGTGCGCCGTGCGCCGAGATCTGTCGGGACCCATCCGTCGCTTGTGACGTTAAAAAGGGTATGATCCGAGCGGCACGTGTGCGACCCGTTCTCGAGCTGCCGCGAGCGCGAGCGCTGGCCCGCGGCCCGAAGGGTTCGTCAACCGCGCCTTCCCCCACTTGGGTCTTCTCCAAGGCCAAAGCCAACAAACTCACATGCAACGCTTCCTGGCACAGATGCTTGCTTGCTTGGAAGGCAAAACCCATGCAAAAGTCCTCCACGCAGTCCTCGATCCAGTTTCGGTGCTCATTTCCCGCGCCAAACCTCCAGCAATCCTCCACAGCTTCCGCCGGCGATACTAAGCACGTGCTCGTTTCCCGCTCCGGTCCAAACGCTTTTTCCGTCGAACTCATTCGAACGTCGGTGCCCGAAACGGTCGGTGCCTTGGAGGCTGCGCTGAAGCCGAAAGGTCCTCTAGGCGGTGGCCCTTCCTTCAGCTCACCTGGGCCAGAAGGCGTCGGAGAACGCGAGCGTTCAGGATTCAGGTCTTGCTCCGGACCGGCATAATGTGGTGTTGGTGTTGGTGTTGGTGTTGGTGTTGGTGTTGGTGTTGGTGTTG